AAAAGCTATGAAGACAGGAGAGAGTTTTAGGCTGGGTAAATACATCTAGACAAAGGGAGCAGGTCAGTTGTTCTTCGAAGCTGTCTGTGATGTCTTTGAGCGATTTGAGTGCAGCCATTTTCACAGGGATGCGGAAAAGGAATGTAGTGAGTCAGATTTCTTGGAACTGGAATCTGATATTCAAAGGAGTCACGTGAAGACCCTGTGGATGCGTCTAGGCACGCCGCCTGTGATGACATCTATCTTGCAGATTCTTGACCTGACATTCACTAGAGTGAATCAAATGGATCGACTGGGTTTTTTTTGTCACGCATTGAAATTAGATCAAATTTGAACTTTTTGGCAGCAAAAATGTAAACAATCCAAAGCTGTAAACAAATGATGATCCAATTACTGACAAGCTGACAGGGAAGGAAGGGGAGAGGGGGGGGAGGGTCTGTGGGTAAGAGGATAGTAGGTCGTTTCCCTCTTCCCCATTTACCCTTCATGTTGTTTAGAAAGTTTTTTTTGAAAACCGATTCGACTGCCGTTTTATGAGGTTTGATGTGTTCCGGTTTTGTAGAGACTTTGAACAGATTTTCATAGTTTAATAGAATCGTGCTAAATTTCTCAACATATAGGCAGATAGAATAGCTCGAACACTCGGCGCCCTGGTACCCACTTATAGACAGCGTGACAGTATGAACAGGTCTCCTCGCATTTTTCCATTTCTTAGCTTTCATTATATTTCTTCCATTCCTCAAAAGGTAAAGTAGAATGGTGACACAAAAAAACTATGAGCCCAAAAAAGGTTTTTTCGACTGAGTGAAGAAAGAAAAGGTTTTCGATCGCATGAGCTTTGGATTGTTTACATTTTTGCTGCCAAAAAATTCTAATTTCATCTAATTTCAATGCGTCACAAACAAAACCCAGTCGATCCATTTGATTCACTCTAGTGAAGGTCAGGTCAAGAATCTGCCAGATTGATGTCATCACAGGCGGCGTGCCTAGACGCATCCACAGGGTCGTCACGTGACTCCTTTGAATATCACATTCTAATTAAGAAATCTGACTCACTACATTCCTTTTCCGCATCCCTGCGAAATTGGCTGCACTCAAATCGCTCAAAGATATCACAGACAGCTTCGAAGAACAACTGATCTGTTCCCTTTGTCTAGATGTATTCACCCAGCCTAAAACTCTCTCCTGTCTTCATAGTTATTGTACAAGATGTATCGCTCAGTGGTATCAGACAAGTGGGAATCAAGGCGACAATCGAATGGACTTTCCGATGTGCAAGACGACGATAGTTGTGCCAGACGGCGATCCTTCGAAGCTACCTTCGTCGTTCTACTTGGATTCTCTTCTGGACTTGCTTCATGGGATGAAAAGCCGAGCTATCAGCCAGTTTTGCCCCATTGTGTAATGGCTTGATATGTGAGGCTTGCTTCGACGCCCATAAATCCCACAAGATACATAAACAAGTAGAAGATGAACGCCAACTAATAATGCCCCGGGGGGGGGGGGGGGGGTACTCCGCCAGAATTTCGGTAGAGGTGTCTCGCTGGGATTCTGAAAGGGGTACCCTGTTTATGACAATTGATATAATTTATTGCACTGAGTTCCTGTTTCAATTATCATGTCAGCTCGCGTATGTTTTTTTTGTTTTTGTTTCTTTTGTTTTTTTTTTTTTTTTTTTTTTTTT